ACGGATATCGTCATCTAGCAGGGGAATATTACCGTCACCTCCTGAGAAAAACATGCACCACAGGGAACTAATAACCTCAGCCGTCGACGCGCCCAGAATCACAAGTCATCAATCAATCAAATTACTGCCTACAAGATCTACATTGCAATTATTTACTATAATTATAAAACCAGTGGTAGCATATGGTCCTTACAAAGGTCCCTATATCTATTCGTGTATGACGACGAGTAAGCACAGCCCAAGCTTATGAAGACCAGAATATGGTGTGGAGGGATGTCTTCGCACCTTCCCCCTTTATATGTGTATGTTATTATTCATAAACTTAGGGGAAGGTAGTCGAATATTGACGAGGAGCCTAATATCGGATATCGCGGTTTCGGCTCTATGGTGAGCCGCAACCAAGCAGCGTCTACGCCAACTACTACCTCTACCAACATCCACTACAAGGACAGTCTTCGCCAGAAGCGTGTCAGTTAAAATTATGTTTTTGATTTTGTAATCGTAAACTATTTTAGTCTTTTCTATCTTACAATAAACTTTTTACGAAGCATTTTTACCAATATTATACTAATAAAATTATGGAAGAATATTAGTTTGAAACTAGAATCAGGTTGTTCGGCTGATCTCTTACTAAGTTACGTATTTCATAATGAAATAGCGTTAAAGCTCCCAATATCGGATACTTGGGTCCTAATATCAGATTCTCATTAGTTTTATAAATATGGACAGAATGAGGAATAATTTATGAGCCCATTAAAATTTTACTATTCTCAAGAAGTTGAAACATGATTTCTATCAATCCTTATAGAGCATTAACCTGTTATCAAATCGACGAACTTATGGGTAAAACTTATAGTAAAACACACCACTCTTCTGATCTGATCTACACATTTAGTCAAAAATTCTTAATGCACTACTAAGTACTATTTTATTGTTTTCACTACTTATTTTTCTATCGAATATTCGGGTACCTCCTCATGTGATATATGAGGATCCCATTTTTCAAATGTGCAAAAGTGTCGGCTTTTAAAATAATTTACAAAAAATATAAAGTGTGGAATGATTGTTTCCAAGCTCTGCTTGCCTTTACAAAAGATTTTAACGTAGGTATTAAAGATGTAAAAATTTTGTTAAAAATTAAAATATATTTTTTAATGAAATAAAACAAAATGTATCCTTCTTCTATGTTAAAAATTGCACCGAATGATTTAAATACAACAAATTGTGATTTTTTTAAAGTAGGAATGAGAGGAGTACCATACTTGAGAAGGTCAAGATACACATCAAGTTGTAGCCTCGGATGATTCAGAACAAAAATATCTATACTGGCTTAGGGTAGAAACTCCAGCAGGCATTTGCACGTTCAGAAGTTTATTTGTGCTTTGAAAGTTCATCATAAAATACATTTTAAACATCTTTCAATGGCCTGCATCGTCCGTTTTCAGGCATAGAAAGTGATATTGAAAAACATATTTTGAAATACATATTTCAATTTTTGTTTCATTACAAAATTACGATTTTTTAACCTGACGAATCAACTTGTAACGGTTAATGTAAATTCCGCAAAGAGAGAATAGTACTTCACAGCGTTTCACCAGTGAGTAGTGTGTACCTGTGTGTAGTGTACCAAGGATTAAATGCAAAGAAACCAACAACACTCGAGTTTTTCTAGAATTCTTCCTGAATATCCTGGGGAGAGCTGACCAAAAACTGTCTGCTTGTCGAGAGAAATCGAATCAATACCTATTGGACACCTCCGTAGGTGCTGGAAGCAAAGAAACTTCTCTCTGCTAGATGGATCACTTCTCTCTTTCCAGAGGGGCGGAGGTGAGATCGATCAGGGAACCATGTTGCACGGCAAAGGGTTGCAATGTCAAATGCAGCCCAATGGTCTCTATAATTCGAAACAACCTGTAACAAGCGCCTTAGCTTCTTAGCTAATGACCCTCATCTCAGTCGTGTGTTTCGTCCAGTTTCCCTGATCCTTTCACCATCCGTCTACATGTGACGATTCTCTCATTTACCCCACTGTTCGATTTTATCCTGCTCCTCCACTTCTTACTTCGCGACTTCTGCTACCGCTCTACATTCTGGAGGTACATCACTATGTATCATTGTATAGAACCCAAAGTTACTGATTCCTTATTGTTTCTTTTTTGTCTCAGATAGCATTATAAAGTCGAGTTTGGCTCCCTTAGTTTCTTTCATAATTCACGTCCTTTGTAAGCTAGACCTCGTACATTCCAAGTCTACTTACATGTTCCGATATTCCAAACAATTTTTCCGATTGTCCTCGCAGATATTGTTACCAAACGGTCATGATTATTGTTACCATCCGTTCATGATTGTTGAGAGAGCCAGTAACAAAATTCTCCCCTAGTCGCGCTAAGATCGCTGCGCAGGGAAAGTTTGGCGGTGGGGATGCCGCCTCACTGCTCCCAAACCGGCAGGATTTGCTTAAGGTTTTCTCACGGCAGATTGCTTTCTCTGAGGTCTGTCTTCCCATGGACCAGTCTGCAACCCGGGCCCTCTTCACTTGTAACCTTAGGGAGGGGTCCTTTACTAGGTGTGTTGTAGAGGTATGATCCTCCGAAGCAGTGCCGGAGCTAGACAATTTTGGGCCCGGGGCAATCAATGCTGAATCGTAGACCCTCCCCCTGAAAACATGTGAAAGTTGTATCAAAAAACTATGAGTTATTTTATTTTAACCAATAACAAAAAATACAATTTAAGCAAAAAGAAATTGGAAGTATGTATTAAATCATAGTTTTAAATGAAAGTATTTAGTGATCAAATAATAAAGGTTCAGTGGTACTCTTAAAACTAAAAAAATGTGTTTAATAAAATCACTTGTTGTTAAACACATGAAAAATAGTATTAATATCAGTGGAACCTATTTTTATGTTAGCACCATTTGAACCATTTCATAGAGTCCAACCGCATAAGTCACGACTAGAATTAAGTATTTAAGGTAAAAATTACTCTAAAATGTATGAAATATCAGACTACTAAAGCGCGACGTATAAAATTACGTTAACGATTTTCTTGAGTTCTAATTTAGTTTTCAATTGTGAGGAATGTCCCAGGGTGCACGACGGGGGGGGGCGGAGACGGGGCTGGGGACGGGGACTGGGGCGGGTGCGGGACGGTGGAGGGGACGGGGGTGGGGACGGGGCGGGGACGGGGCGGGGACGGGACGACGGGCCGTGGGCGGTGACGGGGCGGGGATTTGGTTTGTCATTATTGTGGCCGCCAAAGGTTGTTAGTCAAAAGTGAAAGCGCTTTGCACCCATGTCGGGTGAGAACATTGAGCGTCTAGCCCACACGCCCTGTCGGGGTACCCTTTGTGTAAAAATATATTAAGCTTAGATTTAAGGGACTTTTTACTTAGTAATTCGGAAATCAAAAATCATCCCAATGTTTCATTGCGCAATGCATAGTACGGCTCGACATCACGCATAGTTCCATTGCACCTCACCCTCCCGTTCCAACGTTTTAGAACAGCCGAGCAAAGTGCCACGATCAAGAATTCGGGGAAGGCCGGTGTGGATCGGCCGAGTAATGAAAATACGGCCTGCTGACGTGCAGGCGCATTAAAGATCAAAGAACTATTTCTTCTACGAAATGAAATAATCTATGGAATTCGTTCGTATCGCGAACATCGAACGATCTTGCATGAAATTCGTTCGTATCGCGCTACTTTAATAGGGCTGTGGAATTTCAAATACGAGTATTCTCACGTTGGAAAGACTAAGATAAGGAAGTTTTAAGTTGTAGGCGCCCTTCTGATTTTCTCTAAATATCTGGTACAAAAGGTAAACAATCAGAAAAAACTACAACCATAGTTTCAAACAGTTATACGTTAAGGAATTTCCATGGTTGTGTTCCTCCCCAACTCTACAGAAATTGTACTGTTGTACAAGTTTGATTTTAGCAATAAAATCATTATTTGCAACAGAAAAGGATTAGCCGCCCTGTTGAATATAACTAGATCGTTGCATAAACACTCAAATTCAGCAGAGCACATAAAATGCATACAAAAAGGAATCAATTAAGTGCATTTCAGACTATGTCAATGATTTTGTAAAACAGAATTGACATCGTCTGATGACCAGGTAAACGATAGGACAGATACATATGATACAAAGAAGAAGTTTCGGCGTTTCTCTGAGAAAAATTGTAATTCAGAAGAAACGTCTTCTGCAGTTGATAATGAAACACATGAAAGGAGACATCACAGACAAGTCTGCAGCCTTAAAAGATCGATTTCGGATACAAGAAATCAGCAATTCAATTATTAAGATAAGCATGTTTAAATTTACATACCTCTTCACATAACTTCACAGCCACAAGTAACAAGTATTGTACCTCAGCTTCTGGGTCAATGGCTCTCATTTCGATCAGGTTGGTCGTCCAGTTTCCCTGATCCTTCTGCAAATGCTGAGATGGTCCCTTGTTTTGCATATGGAAATAGATGTAACTTCTTTATCTGAGCACGTCTTCTAGATTTCAGTGGGAAATATAGTTACTCATGGTGTGACAGGAAGTATTATTCATTCACGAATGACATGATGAGGGATAAGAGTCCAAATCTAAAGCCTTATTTACCTTTGAAAGCAAATTTTATTACAGGAGGGATTATTTCGTTAACAATCCTTGCAAAATACGCACATTTCTTTCTGCATTCAGAATTCAACAAGTATATATCTTAGGGTAGGGATCTCAGAATTATGAAAACATGCACAAAATTCACTTCTCTCCGTAGCATGTCACACGAAGTTTTTAATTGTTTTTTACGTAAATAAATAACCGCTCCGTCTCTGAGCAATCGAAATGGGGGTACGTGGCGGCGCGGGTTGGCTGCTGCCTGCCGCTCCCTCGCCCCGCCCACGGGCGCGTGTGGGTGGCGCCGAGCGACACAATGCCCGGGCCTTCGGGGTGACGCGCCGCCGCGGCGCCGGCGCGTATAAAAGGCGCGCGCGCCGGGCGCCCGGCCACGGATCCAAGATGCGTTCCCTTGTGTGCCTCCTGCTCGTCGCCACCGCCGCCAGCGTTGCCCTCGGGGCCACAAGTGAGTACTGCTCTCCTGCACGTCTACCTCGATTTCGATTTGTCGAACTTCGAAAATACGAACTTCGATAAGTCAAACTTTGATAACTCGACATCGATATATCAAATTTATTAAATGGAAACGTTCTAGAAGACTCATTTCGATTATCCTTGATTTTCAAAGGATAAGAACTTAGTAACTCGAAAAGAAAACAGCCAAAGCTAACAAGAAGACTCGAACACAAGACAACAAGTCTCAATAATGAATTATTTAATTTGCTTGATCATACAATTGATTCAGTTGTAATAACATATTTGCAGTTCTCACTGGTGGGTTCTATTTGGACCTTTTTTCTGCTGTTTGAAAAAGAATACAAATCCTCAACTTTTCGAAAGATCCGAATTCAAACCATAGGTGAAAACTATAGCACTAGTAGATTCCGGTGTAAACACAAAAACCTGGGTAGCGCAAGGCAATCGTAATTAGAATCGATTCCTTAGTTATTCAACTTATCGAGGTTTGATTAACTTTGGTCCTTATTTGTCTTCCTTATTTTCTTACAGAATTAAGGATACAAGTATATACATTTTTGACAAGCTTTGGGAAACAAAATTGCTTACAAATTCAAAGTTTTTGTAAGCTTCCTTTTCAAAAATATTGGACTAAATTTAAACCAGCTGCAAGCTTTAATATTGTTGGAGACAGTTGAATTAATCAGTTCATGAGGTTTCTAGTGGGAGATAACGAAAACACGTCAAAAGAAGTGGAAACAATCCTTCATCCTGTTACACTTTTCTCAAAAAGATTATCAAACACTCTTAAGCTACATAAGAGTAGAAAATTTAAAAACAAGTTTCTTAGAAAAATGCTTTAAATTGCCCACATTTCTCGCAAAATTAAGCAAAAACTACAAAATTTTTGAAAAATTGTACCGGATCTTATTTTAAGATCTTTCTTTAAACAACAGACTTAATTCAGGGGGAAAATCTCAATCTTCAACATTGTAGATGTAGAAAGCGCCGAAAAAATTTTGGACTTTTGTATTTGTCAAAAAATCCGGGATTTTAACGAAAATGAACCATTCTTTTAAGAATCCAACACCATTCTTTTAAGAATTGTTTGCGCTATTCGAGGTCAAAGTTTAATCAAAATGATTGAAGCAATTTTTGAGAAAATTTCGATAATGTTGACGCTCCATGTAAAGTACGTCCATAAATCAAAATATCCTTTTAAAATCCAGAGCCTAGAGAGCTTGAATACAAGTTTTCTTTCGAAGGCCAAGAAAGTAAAATGGTTTTCAAGTATTCGACATAATTAAGTCTGCTTTACGGTTCAGCACAAATTCTTCAATTGAGAAGTTATCTTTTACTCGCTAAATCGGAAACCCCCCTTTTACCTCATGCTTTTAAATTCCGTAATGGTCTTGACATCTATTCCACAATTTCTTAGAAACTGGGAAACTTAACTGTTTCGCAACATGTTTAATGATTTAGTTGGATAATACCAAATGATGAGTCTGTTTTGTTCGTGAATGTTCGTACGGGTTCCGCGAAAACAACCCACGTACAGAACTCACTTTGTTAACGGTTCAGTAGAAATATCTGAGGAATGAATCATCGCTGTCTTCAAATAGAATCAATCGTAGCATGTGAATGCATATATTTGCATGTCCTTCAATTTTCATCCCTTCACTGACGACGGCCGCTTTTATTAAATTTTCAAGTATTGTTCTCAAATCTTTATTGCGAAATGTCCATTCATGTCTTTAACATTTCGCGTCAAGATGTTAATTGGGGAATTCATGAAATTTCGAGGCTGAATTGAACTTCCCACGTGTAATGTGTTTCATTAAACAGAACCTAGACAGAACGTGTGTATGCAGAATGACAAAAGCTAGTGGGAATGTCCCTCAAACGGCTTTTTTTCTCTTCTTAGTTTTTTACTCAAATTTCTCAAAATTTAAAAGAATGCATGACATCATTTAAAAATCTTCAACTGAATGAAGCTATGCAGAGAAATCTAAACCACAAAAATCAATATAGATAAAAAAATGGCTAAGATAACTGGTATATAATATTTTCAAATTTCGAACAGAAAGAATGCACACTGAAATTGCGATATGGGATATATACACGAAGTATATTTTGCGATATGTATGGGACGAGGAGAGCCACCTAGTTTTGTACCCCAAAATCGGGATATCTTTGAGTGTAGATGGATGGATGTGTCTCTGTCGGATTCGAAACTTTTGAGCTCAAACTTGGTAAAAAAGTTGGGAGTAAGATCTAGCTCTGTTGTTCCGAAGGCGTTTAAGGGGACGCGGAATGCCATATCCTGGCAAGATTAAATGTTCGAGTCTAATTCTCAGAATCTATTGAAGTTAAGCTTTTGCATTTTTACAGTTTACAGATATTTCACATCAAATCAAAATCTATTTTTTTCACTGCAAAATCATTCCGAGACCCCTAAGATATTTCAATTTTTTTAGTGGTTTACATGAAACCCCAGTGATATTTTCAAAATTTTCTGAAAAATGTTTGCAAATGTTTTCTTTAAATACTACTATATTAGGAAAAGTAGAAATAGCATATACAGTTAGTTAAATATAGACACACAGCTAGAAAATTAGCTCTGAACTTTTCAATGCTTTTTGGACCAGAATCAAAACTTACGAATGAAACAATTGAAAACGAACGAGCGTAGGAACGAAGGAAATCAAATAGACTCTTTGCAGATCAGTTTTAGATTAAACTGTAAATATAGAATGGCCGTACAGGATTCTTTCCTCAATGGTATGACTTGTTTCTTTCTAGAGTTACCTTAAATAAAAATGCTACACAGGTTTAGGGGCATTTTATCACTTTTTAACTTTTTTTTGTTTTCTGTTTCAGAAGTGCCATGGACATCCTTGTATGGTAAGCACGCACGCACAACCTCCAGAAGGCCCTTCTCTCTACTTCCCCTACTCTCTTTTTCGTATTATTGACCGGATCGAACTCTCTTTCCGTATTATTGACGTTAAATATGATTAGTTCAGTCTGACATGCATTATATTTATAAAATTAACGGTGCATCTTTGGATCATGGTTAGTATATTGATAGTAATTTTAGTATGCATTTGATTTTAAATTAAATGGACAATATTTCCTGTCGCAGCCCTCGCATTTGTTGCCTTCTGGAAGACGGACTTCGCGGTGCCGATACTATTATTTTTAATTAAAAATCGTATGTCAGATTATCTAATTTTATACTCAAATTACTATCGAAATAATAACATGTGATCCATATTGTACTTCACTTTTTATGAGCCGTCCATTACGGACAATAAAAATATAAAGTTATATTTAAAAAATAAAAAAAAATATTACATTTCTCAAAAATGAAAAATATTACAGACAATACCTTTACTGCATATTACTTGCCCCGTGATTCCGCAATGTTGAGCGAAAACTGCACTTCGATGTCGCGAACCGTTTAGAAGTGACGGCGGTGGTCCACAGATAGTGGGACACCTCTAAATGCACATATTTTGCTTTTTTAATATAATAAATTCGGTTTCCTTTTAATCAGTTACCGTGAAATATTTCACGATTTTCCTCTAGTTAAAAGTAAATGTAGTACGTGTATACAAAACGGTTTTTAAATTAAACAAGTCATTAAATTAAATGATGTTCTCTAAGCAAGACCGACCGCTCTTCCGTTTCCCGCGAACTTGCCAAGTTGCACACGACTCTATCTCGCCGTGTCCATTGTAGCCGCGCATTTCAAATTACTCAACTTTTGTTTGCTATCTTTTCAATATATAGTGACCCCTCGTAATTGATCTTTTTGGGGGGAGAGGGGTACCTCAGTTGTCAAATCCGTTCCCTGGAAGCCGATTAGGAGGGACATCAAAACCGTTGTCTTGACGGCGCTAACATAAATGTTGTATGGGAACGAACCGTGTTTGCGCGCAGCGACGTGGAGCTTCGGCGGGCTGCTGTCGCGCCTCGCCAACCAGGCCTTCTTCGAGCTGCCGCTGACGGCCACGCAGGCGGCAAAGGAGGGCTGGGTGCAGGCGCGCGAGGAGGCCTACACCACCCTGTGGTGCCTGCCCAATGACCCGCGCGTCTGCATCCGCTACGACCAGCAGGGCAGCGTCGCCGGCCTGCAAGTCTCCGTAAGCGCTCGCGCCCGCCCGCCCGGCGCCGACACGCGGAGAACAACACACACACAAGTTGTCAGACCCAAAGACTTGGCACATGTGTCTCTATGTGCGTCGACGAATCTGAAGTCAGCATTGCGTCATCGCTCTCCAATTTTATTTAAATCGCAAAAAACAAGAATTAAATTTACAATTACTATTTCATAGTGGTTTATCGCGATATAAAAAATTGGTGGTGGCGCAAATCTACCATCAGATTCGAATTCAGCGCATAGAAATACTAGAAAACATGGGCCAATCTTTGAATCAGACAATCTTTTTTTTTTGTGCCTGTGTAATTAGAGCCAAGACGTTCACCAAATGCCTTTTTGTTATTCTTCCTTTTTAAGGTTTTTATCAATAACCGTAAAAAATAAAAATCAATCGATTTTCATCAATATCACTTAATTGTACTTCTCGTGTTGTTCTAGTACATTTTCATTTTACCTATTTTAGCTTTCATTTAGCCTATTTTTGGCATTTTGTCTAATATTTGCCTTTTCTTGCCTTTTACGTCATTATTTTACTTTTCTCCTGACACCGATCTCGATCAAACTTTATATATGCAAGCCTGGACAACACTAGGACACGGTTGTATAAATATAATTCCCTTTTCACCTATGCCTTCATAAGACTCTAAAGGAGGTCCACAATACAATGTCGAAGAGAGAGCTTCGCGAGTAAAACAAATTCGTAGCCGGATGGTTTTGTGGAATCAATATTGCAAAGGAAATGTCATTTCCATGCACATTAATTTTAGTTAAAATAAAAATGAGAATACTTTTAAATTGATTTTTTTACAATAATTCTTTTTAAATGTACCGGAATGCCAAAAATCCAGCCCATCCTTCTACTAACAGTCTTTGTTTCTACGACAAAAAATAAGAATCCAAAAAGTGTTAAAATACTCCTGAGAACACCTTTTCTCCGAGTTGATTATTTTAAATTTGTCTCAAACTTTTGTGTCTTCGTTATTTCGATATTTTTGATATAATGAGACCCTTTTGAAAAAGAAAATGAACTCTCCGAAAGTAACGGCCGGACGTCCCAACTTGCAAACGTGTGTGTGTGTGTGCTGCAGTATCTGGCGAAGGACATGGCGAAGGCGCCGTTCGAGTGGCAGAAGCACCCGCTCGTCATCGCAGACACCATCTTCGACCAGGACGTGGGCGCCGGCCGCTACTACTTCGTGCCCCAAGGTGCGTCGCGCGGCGCTCCCGGGGGCGACGGCGAGGGACGTCGACGACGGGGCTGTCGGGGAGACGCCGTCATCTGCGCCAGTCGACCTCAGGGGGAGAATGGCATTTCCCCCCTGAGGAAGGTGGCAGCATGGCGGCTGAAACGTTGGCCTCAATTCATAGGGCGCGGCGTCTCCCGGACAGGCAACTACTTACGAAAGCCATTGTCGGCATCCAAAGTCTAGGTCCTCCAGATCAAAGATGCTTCAAACGTCACATATGGTATCCCATGTCAAATAGCATCTAATATTATCATTCCTGCCCTGTCCTATGGCTCGACAGCCTGCTACGGGTCTTGGCCGGGCAGCGGTAACCCAGCCTCTCGGTCACGGAATAAGAGGATCGTATGGTTTGCACCAAGATATTCCTTCCCCGTATATTCTGGTCTTCATGAGCTTAGGGTGGGCTTTATCATCCTCACACAGCAATAGATACTGGGGCATATGTAAGGAAAGCAGTTATAATTTTGCCCTGGTCGGGAACTTTTATTATTTGAGTAAATTTCATGTAAGTTTACGTCTAAAAGTTTCCAAAAACGGCGCTCCCTCATTCAGTGTGTGTGTGTGTGTGTGCGTGCAGAGGTGCTGCAGCAGGGCGGGCGCGCCAGCTTCGACGAGATCGGCACGGGGCTGTGGCTGCAGAGCGGCGACGACTTCATCGAGGTGCCCCAGCAGGAGAGCGAGCTGCCGGCGCTCGGCTGGACCAAGGAGAACTGCATCCCCACCATGGGTGAGCCACACACACACACAAATGCAGATGAAACAGATGAAAATCCAGTGTTTCAAATTCCACACATTCCTTTCTATTTATTTCCTCAGCTTCCCGTCCTCTGATGCACATATCCCTTCTCCCTTCATGTCTTATACAATCTGTGTAACCCAATATTTTCTCCAATTAACTTATTCATCTTTATACCTACTATTATCTCCCACAATCTCCTCTCCCCCTGTCCTACTATTATCTCCCACTATCTCCTCTCCTCGAGCCTTTTCTCTCAGATTCCCTATCTTCACCCCGGCTACCTCCATCACCATCCACTTTCATCGCCTCTCCATGAACCCATCAGGGTAATTTCATTTACCATGGTAACGAGGAAGTTGATAAAAGCTATGATAGAAACATCAAGAAATTTGTTTCGTGATTCAGTACAAAGTTGATGGAAGTAACTGACTTTAAAGCACCTTATTAATAGTACAATTTTGTTTAAAATACAATTTTCAAAATTTAATATAAACAAAATTTGAGCCCGTCAAAAGTTGATAGTGAGAACTGACAGAAAAGGTACAAGGCACACATTTGCATTCCAATTACCGAAGTAAAAACACGCTCTCTGCCGGTATCTACGGTTATTCTATTTTTGCATATCCGCAAGATTTCTATGGATTATAGGACAGTTCGTAATAATGCCAAAGAACATGTGGCGGTATATCTCTTAATGATGTTTCACATGACGCATTGTGGATATGGCCTTAATGGGAAGGCAAATCGTCCTCTCTGGTGTTTAGTTGGAACACAACTCTCAGGGGAAGACCCGACTACTGGCAAAGCCATTATTGAGTTAACTGTCTTTTTTTTACAGCATTGACTACAAATATTTCTCGATTTGCCCTTCATAATATTTGGTGGACGCGTGGAAACGAACGTCTGACACAATGAAAGCTGAGCAATAAAGACAAAATAAACTCGATATTGTCATTTCCTGCGGGCAGCTCGACGCCGAGAGTGCGTGTACCCACCAATCATTAGTGTAGGATGAGGGAGCCATAATGTCATACGCGAATCTTCATTATATGATTTTTTTCGCTACATATTCATTGACAAAAATTAAATATATTCAACACCCTTCATGCCCAAGAGTTTTGTAAATTTATTTTGAACAACCTAATTAGACAATTTTCTCATTATTATGTTTTTACAAGTTCCCCTGCAATAAATCAACCCAATATGGCAATGGCGCTACGTAATTTTCGCTGTGATACTATTGCGTGCTCAGGTCGTCACTACTACCAGAACATCACCTCGACCATGGACTGTCAGAGCATGGAGCCCTACTTCCTGACGGTTGACGTGCGCAACAACTGGGTGCACGGACTCGGATTCCAACTGTTCGGCCCCAAGACCAAGGAGAGCCGTGGCTGGCTCGAGTCAGTTCCCTCCTTTGCCGTCAAGGTAAGCAGCGCTGCCTGCATCTCTTTTTCTTTTGTTTTTACTTTCCCGCCCTTAGGAAGGTACTACTTCGTAAGAAGAGAAAGTTATGTAATTGCGCAGGAAAACGACGAATTTTCCGCAGAAAAACTCTTATCGCCGGGCTCAGGTGTCGAAAACGTGAATAAAACCTGTTGCTATATTTTAAAACAATCCTCTAACTCGTGGTGTAGCCAGAATCCATGTTTTGTTGGTTCTTGATATCAAAAAATCAATGCAAAACGTCGGTCTGTCGGTTTGTCTTTCCGTTTGTGGTCAACGCTAGCGCCTAAACCGTTCGGCCGATATTCTTCAAAATTGTTTTCCCCAATCGATCTGAATGAATTTCAGGGTTTGGGAGTTCCAAATGTATATTTTGATTTGTGTGAGTACTTTACATGAAGTCTCAAAACATTTTCAAAATTTTCTCAAAAATGGCCGTTGTTAATAGTTTTTCGTTCCTCTAGTTGCGCTAAGTCGAAATAACAGAACAGTTTTACGAAACAAAAATCTTTTGTGAGAGTGCCTGTAGCGCGTGTTGCTTGTGTGCGCAGCCCACCCTCCCCAACGCCCCGCAGTGCCTGGTGGACTGGGCGGCCGACTACGGAGTGCTGTCGCTGCACGTGTACTTCCGCAAGGCGCCCTACCTCATCATGTGCTAAACGGCGCTGCCTCATCCGGCGCGAAGAAAAGCTCTTGACACGGAATCGCCTTTCTTCTGAAGCGTCTTCGCCTTCTCATTCCTTTTCCTCCTGCATTGACCAATTCTAGCAATAAATCTTACCACTACGAATACAAAAAGTGTTGTTTTTTAATCACCCGGATATGCGCCATCTCTCTGGGATTACTTATATCTAATATTTAGCTACAAATAATAAAATCATCAAAATGTAGACCACTGTCCGTCACTTTGTATTTTAGTGAGCTTGATAAGAAGGATATCAGGAATTCATACATACCTCATACTTATACATACATACACATCTCACATGTACTGTATGTATAAAATATTTCGCATTTTGGGTCGATTGTCCTCCTTTGCTGGCTACCTAACGATGTCCTTCAACTCTTGGACCTGGTTTTATTCCAATGCTTGGAAGGTAAGAAAGAAAGTGGCGAACATGTTGTATTCCCTTCGCCGCAACTAGCAAACTGAGTTTTTCTTTTTAAGTACTAGTGCTGCACTGATGCTAAACATTGGACTTTTAGCTCGCTATGCGTGGCCTAAAAGTAATAGCTTTTACTAGATGCTGTCTAAAAAAATTGTCATACCTTTTAAGCACAAGTGACTATTAATGGTCTAATGGGAATCATATTGCATCCTTTTGGTACTCTATATAGACTATGAGATTCTGGTTGTTAAGACGAGAATGTCAGTTTATAAAATGTACGACATAATATTAAATGCATTTCTAAAACCTATGGTATGAAATGTACATGGATAGGCCTGCACAGCGGGGCCATGGGGTCTGTGGCCTCCCTCTAAAATTTGAAAGGGACCTCGTAACCTTACATAATAAAATACTTTCGTAAACGTGTTAATTCCTTAGTAAAAATGACGTACGGAGCGTATATATACATTTTACAATTTACAGTTAAGATACACGAATGGACCCATTTCTCTATTCGTATATCGTTACCATATCAACATTAAAGTACTATATTGCCTTATTAACTAGTGATTCGGGACAAAAACGTTATTTTAGGAGCTGCCCACAAAAAGTGGCCAAGAAAGGTCCCGTGAAGTATTGCTACTTTAGTACTGGATTACTACTTTAGTAGTGGATATTTGCTTACAACTAAATATTTGGTCAAAGTCAAGAACGCGGTACGGCCGTGGAGAAGAGTGGTGGCGGCGGCAGGGGGAAGGGAGAGGGGAGGAGGAAGAGGAGAAGTGGGAGAAAAGGGAAGGGATGGAGGAGGGGACGGGAGGGGAAGAGAGAAGAAGGAAAAGGGAGAAAGGAGGAGGGGATATGGGGGAGAGAGAGGAGAAGGGGAGGGAGTCTCCTTACGCTTACCTTCAAATTACGCTAAGCACTGAGAAAAAAATTAATAAAACTTACCGATAGTCGTCGACTTTCACGTGTCGTAAAGTTGCGCCTCAAGGAACGACAAAAAACTCTCACTTGACCCCTTCCGAACAGAAGACTTATGCGTAGGAGGAGTGGCCCCTTTCTTATTGCACTTCCACTCGAAACGAACACACAACACCCTCCGCTTGGTCAACCGCATCGAACATTCACACACACGACGCATGTAAATCCTGCAGCAACCGAGCCACATTCTTGCGCTCAGTCCATTACAGCCAAACATCCCTTTCGACACATCGCGTAAAAAAAAAGAACACATTTATTCCCACCATCGCAGAACACTTGACACTCAAAAACACAAATCACAAAGAACTAGATGAGCACCAGAAATGCAACAGAACGACAGCAAACCCGACACACAAAATCACAGGGGCACATGATTGCGGCCCTATTTGACCACGGATCTCTGACAAGACACTAGGGTGAAAATACCGCCCCTAACTTACGCCGTCACGATCGTGACCAATTACGAAGCGTTAAATATATTTCAGTGATGTAAATTTTATAACTTATTTAGATCTCCAATACTTGGTTTATTCTAAATTTGTACTAAGTTACGTGCGTTGCTCACTGCTCCTCCCCACCGAGAGATTCCCCTCATGAACACCTAATCGCCCATCCATCCACTCGGAGTTTCCCCTTGCCGGAGCGGCGCGAAGTGCCCGTTTAAACGACTTCTTTAAGTTGTATTCTACCCTTCTACCAAATACTTTTCTCTCTCAGAAATAGTTCAAAACATGAAGAAATTGGTACGAATGGATGATGACAGACAACCCAAACAAGCACTACGTTATGTACCAGTCGACAGAAGATGAGCCGAAAGGCGAAGGACTTGATGGTTAGACGACTAGGACATCGAAGACGGAACTGGCCTGCAGGTCTCGTCCTTGCCGTTGAAAAAGAAGAAAGCTATTGTGAAGACACAATTCATCGTTCATCATTATTTTACAACATTTGTCTCTTTATATTTTAAATGTAATTATTCTTTCTGGCCATCACCTTTTTACAGAAAATATTTTTTAATACATGAACAATACACTTCACATGTCATAATGTTTTTCGTACAATGTACATTCATATTTAACAAAGTTTCGATTAAATGTATCTCATCATCAGGTTTCTGAAATAGTTTAAATATCATATGGATATTGAAAGAAGAACGTTTCTGTATTGTAATAATCAAAGTTGATCAATAATTATAATTAAAAATATACTGAATTATCAGAGCAGTAACGCCCGCCGCCGCCCTGCCCACCACGGTCAAATCGGGGGTAGACGGCGAGGCGAGCGACGGTTGAGAAGTGTGCGCAGAGAGCCGTGATGAAACACGGACGGGCAGTGCTGCATCAAACAAATTTATGGTGTGTTAAAACAGGTTGGATTGAATTTGGTATTTAAGTAAAAGACTAGATTGATGAAGTTAATAATCAGAATATTATTGAAAAGTGAAGGGCGCACCAGAACCGAAATCAAAAAACATTAATACAGGAATTCGGTGGCAGACGGACACGTTAATATTTCTGCCCGGGTGAATGCAGCAGCGCCGTACTGTGCAGACATTCGGCGCGAGATGATAGGGATTGCTGAGACTGGAACTGCCGACGGCTCAATCCGCGCCGTCGTTCTGTTGGTGCCTGTGAACATTGTTGTACCGCTGGGGTGGACTCCGGCGAATCCATCGGCCGTTGCTTTGGGCCAGCGGAGTTGATCGCCGAGGGAGAGCGTTTCCCGACGGACTTCGGGACGGAACGAAGGTTGCCAAGACGCCGCCGCCGTTGCCACGCGCCCCCGCTCGTCTCCAACCAGCAGGTGTTCTTAAAAAGCATCAAGGTAGCGTTCATTGTGCACTTATTACCAAAGGCCTGCGCATAGAGTTTTGTAAATAATCTTTGTAAAGAGTGTTTCTATATTTAAATATTAAATGCCACAAAGAATTCTTAGATCATCTTTCAATGCAGCCCAAATCCCTGGAAGCCCCATTCACGAAAAAATTGTACCTGTCCTTTGTATAATTTATTTTGTCGTGAGAGTACCGCTTCCCAGGTACGTCACAATATCAAATTACATTTATCTAAAAATTCTACAAAATTCTGTTTTGCTTAATTTTATGACATGTGAAATGTGTAGCTCATTTATATTTTGAAAAATATTGACTGTAAAACATTGGAGATTTTAACTTAACATGGCGAATAAAATAATTATGTTCATCGTATTACTCGAGAATTTGGTGCAAGAACTTTGAACTGAACCTTGCACTCAACTGAAACTGAAACTGCACTTGAAACTTGTCGGAAAATGTGCACTCGGTAGCGAGCTTGTAACATACATTCTTTCACAACCCCGGCTGTGTCCTGCCCAACACCCATCCCCACCCACATCTCGTAGTTCTCTTCCTTCCTCTGGGATCTCTTTACACCCAATTACCTTATCCCTTGAATCTAATCCTTGTGCTACCTGTTCCATTTTTCATTCATCTACATGTGTCCCCGCTATTTCCTCACATCCTGTCACTGCTGGGGCACGATATTTCCTTCGACCACGCACTCGAGGTAAAAATGAGATAAATAAATAGCAACTACAGTTAAATGCAACAGAGAAACATCCGTGTAGGTACATGCAAAAAATTCAAATAATGTAACATAATGTACAATCTCTTTCAAATAAAACTGAATTTATCGAGGCAGCATTACAGTGTGATTTAGGTCAAATAGATTTTTTTTTTGCTTTACAGAACATTGGTTGTCTCATAATTATCCATGCACCCTCCAAATTCCTAGTTTTTACCTTGCAGGATCGTATTGTGGAGTGAGGGAAACAAATAAGAGCACTGCTTACGGAGGTTCGTGTATTTACGTAAGATATAATACTGATTATACCTTCTTGTCAGAATTCAATGCATATGCAGTTGAAAAAGTTTTTGAAATAACAGTCGTACATCTTACTTTGCATCTACAGACCTCCAACAAAGCGAGCTTTTTATAATTTCATTTTCTTAGAAAATCTAGAGATAACTAGACAAAATTAGTAATCCATCTTTTAAATTTATTGTTATATATGGAGATTTAAGTATTGATTTTCTGAGCGAATCTCACGAAAAAGAGCAGTTTCTCAATTTACTGCATTCTTTTAATTTAGATATTACAGTGAATGTACCTACACGGAATACCTTTAAATCACAAAAAGCAATAGATCAAATTATAATCAACAAAACCCCTACTAGATATGGAATAAAAACTACTAATCTAGGTTACAGAGACTACGAAGCACAAATTCTTACAATTACTAATAACATGAATATCGATACAAATAATACACGCGTGTGCAGAGCATTCACTAAAGTTAACATAAAAATATTTACGAACTACTTGCTGAAGAAATCGTGGGACACACTTTATAACGCTGTTCACACAAATGAAAAATATAATATATTTTTCTCAAAGTTTTCATTTCACTTTAACGCGTGCATTCCTCTCAAAAAGAAAAAATTAACATATTACGGATCAAACAAGAAATTAGAACATCATGTAAAAACAAACGTACGCTTTACTTTATTTCTAAACATTATAACGTATTACTCGGTTTCCATGTCTACTTCCGAGAATACAAAACAAGTTTTAGGAAAGTAATAGTTCAGGCAAAAATAATGAAAAATAATCAGGATATTTTGAACGCTAGTAACAAAACTAAAGCAATGTGGAAAAAATACGA